CCTGCTTCACCCTCCCTGCAATGGGAATACCACTGCATCTACCAAAGCAGGGTCAGATTTTTCTTTTGATCAAAAGTGCACAAATTGGCCTTCACACCTTATATCTTGCTTTGTGCATTGGTGTAGGTCATTTTGTAATCATTTTTGAGACACGGTCTCACTATGTAGTCCAGACTGGTGGTGAACTTACTTTGTAGCTCAGTTTGGTTTTTAACTCCCAGTAATCTTCCTCCCTCAGCATCCCCAGTGCTGGGATAACAGTGGTACGCCACCACACCTGGCTTTATCCTGTCATATATTATTTAAAAGCTCAAAAGTTTTCTTGCAATGAAAGCCACCTCTTCAGAGCTCAGCAGGGGCTCCCTTGTTAGTCATCTGAATTCCTCCTGATGCTGAAGCAGGTGAAGGAGAGGAGCAAGGGAACCTTGGATTTAACTGCAATAAGTGGGAGAACATTTTTATCTTATTTTTCTCTGAGGGTGGGCACAAGGCCTTCACATGGAGATATACCTTTGCTCATTTTTATTTTATTTTCTATTTTTACACAAGGAATCACTAAGTTATCTGCTATAGGTTGGAAGCCTCCTGACTCAGCATTCAAAAGTCCTAGAATTACAGGCGTGGATCACCAAGCCTGCTTTGATTGACTGATTGGTTTTGTTTTTGTTTTCTTGAGACCAAAATCTCACTATGCAGCCCAGACTGGCTTGCATCCTCCTGCTTTACCCTTGTAATTACTAGGATTACAGGGGTGTGCCCCGACACCTGGATCTACTAGAAGTTTTTTGTTTGTCTTTTCGATACAGGGTCTTGCTATACAGTTCAGGATAGCCTTGAGCTCACTTATCCCAGGCTGGACTGAGTTTGCCATGATCCTCCTGCCTCAGCCTCCCGTGTGCTGGTGTGGCAGGCATGTGGCCACATGCCTACTTCTAATAAAATTTTAATAACAGCCCTGGGAAGCTTGCATCATGCTAGAGCTCCTGACTAGAACTCAAGGGGATCTACATTTGAACTTATCACAGCCAATAATCAGTATTTTGGGAGCACTGGGAGTTGAAAGTAGGACCTTTGCCCTGAGCTACATCTCAGCCCATTGGTCATGTTTTATTTTGATACTGATTCTCAGATGGAATCTGGCCCAAGCTGAGATCTTTTTTTTGTCTTTTTGAGACAAGGTCTCCCTATGCAGTTCAGGCTGACCTTGAGCTTTTTTTGTAGCCCAGGGTGGTCTCGAACTTGCAGCAATCTTCCTGCATCAGCTTCCTGAGTGCTGGGATTTTAGCGGTACACCACCACACCCAGCTCAAGATGAGATCAAACTTGTGATCCTCCTGCTTCAAAATCTCAGAGAGTTGGGATTACATGGGTGTGTGACCATGCATCGTGTTTTCTTTATTCTGAGAAGGTTCTCACTAAGTCAGTATGTTGCTTTAGCTGAGAACAAATTTCTTTATATCCACAGCTATCATTTTGCATGGGTCTCAGGAGAAGGTTCTGCCAACATGTTGCCTTAGGTGGATACAAAATTCACTCCATTTCAAATATTTTGTCTCACAAAGTCAGCAAGTTCCCTGGGCTGGGCTGGAAGCTCTGAGCCAGCAACAGTGTCATAGATGGTGGATCAAAGTCCATGCACCACCGCTCCTGTTTATGCATTTTTAAATACTTTTCCTTCTGGTCCTTACAATTAGCATCAACTTTGTGATCATATGAATGGATAAATTACATGTTCCTTTTTCCAAAAAGGTGAAAAACATTCTGTGCAATTTATTTGACTTTGGAGACAGGGTCTCAGTAGGCTGGTCCCTCCAAACAGTCCTCCCACCCCAGCCTCCTGATGGCTGCAATTACAGGAATATGCCACCACACAAGGCACAACCATTCTGTGCAATTTTTTTAAGTGTGCCCATTGGACATGGTGGATCATTCCTATAAACACCTCACTGAGAAGACAGAGTCAGGGGGATCACTATGAGTTTGAGGCTAGCCAAGTCTACATAGTGAGTTCAATACCAGAGTGAACTACTTATTGAGACTCTGTCTCACAAAAACAAAACAAAATGGCAGGGAGTGGTGGTGTCTGCTAGTAACCCCAGCTGTGAGGAGGCTAAGGCAGGGGGACCATTGTGGTTTCCAAGGCCGGTCTGAGTTTCAAAGTGAAGTCCAGCACAGCCTGAACTACATACTGAGACCCTATCACCAAAAGACAAAACAAACAAACAAACTAAACAAAACAAAATGTGGATCTATTCTATGCCCATCTCCAACCCTAAGTGACAAATTTCTCTTATGAGAGAAGAATATGTCAAAATCTACATTTCAGCATTTTGCGTCCTAACTTTAAAGTGCTCAATCACTTTGCTACACGGATTTCACCGTGGCTCACTAGACAACTTTTAGTGGTGCATGCAGTGGCTGTGACCTGGGAGGAAGGCAGAGGGGGATTAACTTCCCGTAGACTTGGAAATGTGTTGTAAATGGATAATCTGTGTCAGTTGTACCTGTGAGAGATTAGAATGAAGGGGAGGTGATGACAGCAATATGGACTTAGGGGCTGTAGTGAGATTTCATGATCAGTCTCACAACAAATTCTCAGAGCAAGTTGTCAGAAAGCTAAATGTTTTTCCTTTTCGGTTTGTTTATTGATTGTGGTTGGGTTAGCCTTAAACTCATTATGTAGCCCAGGCTGGCCTTGAAGTCCCAGTGACCTCCATCCTCACCTTCAGAGAGCTGGGATTAAAGGTGTGGCCGCCACACCTGGCTGACATCAGGAAATTCCCAGGGGAAAACCAGGGTTTGCCTAAGTCACTTCTGGTGTTGGGCTCACATGGCCATGTGCTACTGATGGAGGTGCTAAGGTGCCCTCTGCACTTCCTGGGGGGGGTAACTGAGAGACTCAGTCATCTGCCCAGGGCTACTCTGAGGACAGGCAGCTCCCTGAGGACAGGCAGCACGCAGAAGGTTAGAGGAGAGAAAGTCGCTCTGGTCCCTCCCTCTCCATGCTCCCCATCCTTCACCACCCTGGGCAGCTCTGGTCCATCAGCTCCCCTCCCCCCGTGGGTTCCACACTCAGTCCTGACTCCTCCACCCTTCAGCCTCCCCTGCCTCTCTGAAGACAAAAGCCTGAGAGCCTCATGGCCCTTGCTGGGCAGCGAATGTGGGTGAGGAAGGAGCCCCTGGGAAAGGGTGATCGAGGCCTTGAGGAGAGCATGGAGGGCCACGTGGAATGTAGAAAGCTGGGTGTCACAGCAGTGCTCACTCACTGATCTCTGCAGCACCGACCAGCAGGACAAGGCTGTGCTGGGGGTGGGGATGCGGTGGGCAGTAACAGGGGAGAGACAGATCCTCCCCAGATTCACTGGAGAGACAGGGAAGAGGGCAGCGTGAGGCACAGTGCACAAGCATAGATGCTCAGGAGTCTGGGCAGACTCCCTGCGATCCTTCACCCCAAATCCTTAGTCCAAGCAGGAAATCACAGTGGAACTTCCCTCAAAGAATGAAAGAAGGAGGAATAGATGCAGTTGTGAGTCCCATCCACAGATGAGGAAATCTGAGTTTGAACAATTTGGCCAAAGCCACACTTAAGGCACTTGTGGAGACTGGAATTCAGTAACACCTGTTCCCCAAATTTCCACAGTCCAAAGTAAGCCCTCTCCTCGGCTGTGTTCTCCAAACATTTCTTGTTCTGTTAAGCTCATTTATTTGCTCTCCCTCTTTCTAACCTACTCCCCTATCTTTCAAGCCCCACCTCCACCAGCTTCTATTTCCTGTACAGTAGATCCCTAAAATTTATAGGGTTATGGTCCTAGAGCACCCGAAAATTGTGAAAAGCTATTAATTTGAGATGTGGTGAGAAAAATACCTATAGTGCCTATTTTCATATTTTAAACATACATATGTAATATCTTCCACATTTTTGTAATTTAATTAAATAGTGCATTATTAAGCCCTTAGAAGGTGTAAGGGGCTTTAGTGGCATCTTGAGGATCTTGGGGCTTTAGGAACAAAACCAAGAACACTGGAGAGAGCTTCATGCTGTACAGCAACCTGTTGTGAAGCAAGAATGCTGGGTCCAGGGATGGTTACAGCACAGCCTCCCGTCAGCAGCACGAAGAAGTGAAGGACGCTCTCATATTAGCTCTTTGCAAACCTCCTGAGCAAAAACAACTGCAGAGGACACGTGGGCTTTCCACCAACTGGATAGGGTTTCTGCAAACAAATATAACTTAGGTTCTAACAGAAAACTTCAGGAATGACAGAGCCCCTAACTCTAAACTGACCTCATGAGGTTATGCTGTATTTCCATCCATAAGACGTTTCACAGCCTGAGAAATTCCCAGCCAGCTCACACACTGCTGAATGGTTGTCCCACTGAGTCTCTGCTTCTACTGTCATGGTTTGGATGACCCAGGGAGCCAAAAGGGAGGCAGACAGAGCAGACATTTCCCTGCTCCTGCCAGCCAGCTCTAGGGTAGATAGGGAATCCAGGATTCCATAATTATGTGCAATGAAAACACATGGGGTTCATTTCATAGTCTCTTTAATTTTCCTTGGCCGTCTCCATTGTGGGAACTGCTAAGGTAGAGAGTGGGCAACATGAATTGCATTTTATTGGTTATATTTCCTTGAAACAAGGATCAGAATATTTTCCCAAAACTGAAGGGAGTCAGTTTCTGAATCCTTGATTCCCAATTCCCAGTGGGTCGAGAGTTTAGAGTGCTGCAGTAGGAAATCTATGTTCTCTTCATCATCTTGCATCATCATGGTGCTATCAGATGTTCTTCCTGGTCTCACTACAAGCAGAAATAATGCATTGGGACCATAAGCACTAAATAGATTTGGGATAAACTGAGGAATCTTCTAACCTTGTCAGAGCAAGGATGTTTTTGTTGCAAGTTGGTTCCTGATGGGTGAGAAGGGGTGTCTCAGCCTTGCCTGAAAGGATGTCTCTTTCCTCAGTGTTTCCCCAGCACCCCTGGCCTTCGAGATTCATCAGGATGAGCACCGAGTCCCCACACACACTACAGAAACTGGCAATTCAGAGCTTGCTGAGGGACAAGGCCTTGGCCATGGAGGCCGTGGAACATCTGTCAGGGGCGCTCTTCCCACCAGTGTTCATGGAGGCCTTCACTGGGGGACACACTGAGGTCGTGAAGGCCATGGTGCTGGCCTGGCCCTTTCCCTACCTGCCCCTAGGAGCTCTGAGGATGAGGGAACCAGACACTTCGGGCACTCGGGAGGATGTTATCCGTTTGCAGGAAAGAATGTTACAAGCTGTGCTGGATGGGCTTGATTTGCTGCTGAGCCAAGTTTGCTCCAGGTGAGTGTGACCCAGGTTCCCTGGAGGGAGAGTCCTGGGATTCCAGGAAAGGCCAGAAAGTGTCAGAGACAATGGGGGTGAAAGGATGAAGCAGAGGCTTCTGATGGTGCCTGGAAGAGAGTCAGAGAAGCGTTGGGCCTTGCGGGGCCACCTGGGCGTGCACTGTCAGATGGGGAGATGAGCTGATGGTGCCGGCTTCAGTGAAAGGAATAAGAAGTTCCTGACCCCTCCCACAGGCACCCAGAATAGGAACAGGGGTGGATCCAGGGGGAAAGCAAAACCAGAAAACTACAGCATAGAAAGAGTAGAGAAGAGAGCAGACCTCAGAGATGAGGAAGGCACAGGAAGAAACTGGGTCCAGTGCTGAATTCTCAGATTCATTACTGGTTCACCCACAGGACATTGAAACTGCGAGTACTAGATACGCGGGTTGTGCACCAGAACTTCTGGAGAGTCTGGGCTGAAAACAAGTCGGAATCCTGCTCTTCAGAAGCCATGAAGAAGAGAAAAACAGAGATGAGTGTGCCAAGGGTAGCAAAAAAGCAGCCCCTCAAGGTGATTTTAGATCTGTCAGTCTATCATGGAGGGCTGCATCCAATGGCTTCCTACTTCCTCAAGTGGGTCCAACAGAGGGAAGACGTGGTGCAGGTAGATTGTACGAAGCTGCGTATTACAGGCCTGTGCCCTGAATGGCTCATAGAGTTCCTGGCAAAGCTGAACCTTGACTCTGTGCAAGAGTTGGATGTGGGTCACTGCTGGACATTCTTTGAATTTGCTCATTTTGCCCGCTTTCTTGGAGACATGAAAAATCTTGACAAACTAATTCTCTCCGATATCTCTGTGCCTGCCACCATTTCCTCAGAGTGGAGAGAGGAGTTGTTCACCGAAATCACCTCTCAGCTTCTTAAGCTTCACTGTCTACAAGAGATTTTTATGGATTCTGTGGACTTCCTTAAAGGCCACTTGGATCAGGTACTCAGGTAAGATGTGCAGCTCTCTCTGCAGTTTTATTCTAGAAAGATTAGTGAACATGAATGCTGTGACCTGCACAGGAGCTGACAAAGATCAAACACTAGAGTATGAACATATTTATTCATTGCTTTTTCACTCCTCAGTCCTACAAAGTGTTGTCACATAGGCACTGTAATTGAGTAGCTAGACTGGAAACAAGGCCACCATGCTAGAATGCCAGGAGATGGGGTCAGATAGAGTAAGGGCAGGTGCATGAATTCTTCCTCAAGAAGTCCAGCTAGGTTAAGGTGCTGAGAAACCCCCAGGCCTCTCTGATCGTCCTAGTGCTCACCATGGGGAGCCTGTGCCCAGCATGGGCTGGTGACCAAATGGGAAGAGCAGGAGTCTCAAGTTGATGTCAAGGGACAGAGGAGCAGCACAGGGAGCAAGGATACAAACACTGCTGACAGCCTATGAACATCTGCAGTAGCTGTGGCCAGATCTTGCCCTCAGCAGGAAAGAGCTGTGGTTTTCTGCTTGGGAGTGAGGACAGGGGACTGTAGAGATTGAAGACTCAGATGTGTAAGCAAGTGATGGTGATGTCACATAGATACATAAGCAAGGGGTGGTAATGTTACCCCTTAGTTGAGCTGACTCTTGCGACAGTTGGTCCACCTTATTGTTTTCCACCACTCACTGATTTTCATCACCAATTGCCAGATCTAACTGCTTGGTTTTCTACAGGTGCCTCAAGTGCCCCTTGGAGACCCTGTCATTAACTCACTGCCAGCTCTCACACTCTGACTGGAACCAGCTGCCCCAGGCTGAGCAGACCCGACAGCTAAAACACTTGGATCTGAGCTGTATCAGGCTGACTCATTTTAGTCCTGAGCCCCTCCAAATTCTGCTGGATAATGTCGCAGCCACCCTGACCACCCTGCATTTGGAAAACTGTGGGATCACAGATGCGCAGGTCTGCGCCCTTCTGCCTTCGCTGAGCTGCTGCTCCCAGCTCACTACTTTCTGCTTTGTAAGGAATTTCATATCCATGGACACCATGAGGAAGCTGCTGGGCCACACTGCCAGGCTGAGGAAGTTAAACGTGGAGCTGTACTCTGTTCCTACCGAGGGTTATTTTTCCAGGGAAAATGTTCATCTGCAGATGTGGAACGAGGTACATGAAGCACTTAGGAGGATGATGAATACATTGAACCATCCAAGGACAGTCTGGTTTTGTGTTCACCGTGTGTTCTGTTGCAACCGGGTATTCAAATACATGCACCCCAATCCATGCCCGGCCTGTATCCCCATCTAGTTGAGTGCACATTTCCCATGCTTCCCTCTGCACCCCAGGAACACCGAGCTCTTCTTTCGGTGTGAGTGAGAAAGGACATGCTGGCAGCAGCAGCAACCTAGGAGAATCACAGACCTGACAGTAGAAGTGACTTCTGTGGACCTGAGTCCTAGACAGGATCAGAAATAGGAATTTGAGTTGTTTGAGGTCAGTTCAGGCTTCAGATGAATATGTGGATGTATGCGAAGAAATTATGAGAAATGAAGGGAGTTGGGTGCGAATCACCTGATTTCCTCCATGACCATTTTACCTGGCATCTAGCTAAGACCTCATGAGTCTCTAGTAACTGAGGAGAAAGAGCCTGAGTTTTCCAATCAGTGAGGTTTGGCCTCAGGATCTCACAGCAGCAAACAGAGATATTCCATATTGTTCATTCCCTTCCATCCTGTAGTTTTCTCTAGGCACATATTCCCTCCATCTTTCCTGGATTATCTCCCCCTTCCTAACACACCCATGTCCCTGGGACTCATTACAGAGCCTTGTCAGTGAGCTGCAGCCACAGAGCTTTTAGTTTTTAGGCAAAGTCTTTCTGAATGTGTAGACTGTGCTGGCACTTGAGTTATCCACAGTCCTAATGTTCCAGAGTGATCCAATAACAGCTGTGGACAATTATGCTCAGTGCTTTCTTCCTTACTTCTGTACCTTTCTGTTGTATTGATTTAAGGTTGCCAAGTGGAAATCCATTTCAGTGACCAACTCTCTAAAGTGGGGTTCCTTTGGGAAGTGCAGGGGTTGTGATCAGGAACACAGCTACTGAAGGAGGCCACTGCTAAGCCCAAGGAAGGAGAAACAAAAGGGAAGCTTCCAAGGAAAATGAGGGCATGTGAGCTGCTCTGATAACAAACTTTGGTGTGAGAGGATCTTGTGGCACAAGTTCCATACATAAGGCCTGTAATATTCTAAGAGAAATGGGGAAGAACTCCCTTCTGGGCCTCTTAGTGTTAAGGTGACAGCAAAATCCTTGACACTGGTCATGGGTGGATTGAACAGATTCAGTTTTTCATCCTTGGCTTTGCGGACAAAGTGCTTCACTGCCAGTTTCCTGGGAAACCTTGCTGTGTTGCCTTTCCTGATGGGAACTCAACTGTCTTCACCATTGAAGGAGCTCAGGACCTCAATGTTGCTAAGGATGGCTGTGGTACTTTTCAGGGGAGCTCTGGTTCTTACTTTGCATGTCACTTTCTGGCTCCAGTGTAGATCACCCAGCCTGCTAGCACAGATCCTTCACCCCACTGGCATGGACTTCCTAGATTCCACCACTGACTGTTGGGCCTGCACAGTGCAGATCTGTGAAACAAGCCTGCATGAGATACTGCTACAAGCTCTAGGTCTTCAGCTGGACTCATGCAGGACATTCCCATGGGATCCAGGCCCTTGGCTGCATTCCTTGGTCTCAGTGTGTGGACAGATTTCCTGCACTCTCATGTATATGATTCTTTGGTTGATGATTTTAATTTATTGAATGGTATACAATATGTGTCATGTATTACATTGTTCCCCTTGAAAAAATAAACCTGAAAACAACACAGGAGAGGAGATGATGTTTACAAGTGGGTCTGATTGATTTCACTTATGAGTATGATCTCTAGTTGCATCCATTTACATATAAAAGCCTTGAGTTTATCTTTCCTTATAGCTCAGTAAGAGTCCATTGTTAAAAATACCCCATCTTTTTAATCCATTCCTCAGCTGATAGGCATCTGGATGGTTTTCATGATTTAGCCATAATAAATTGTGCTGCTGTAACATTGGGTGCACATACATTGCTGTGCTATGATGTTTTCAGATTTTCTGTGAAAATACCCAAAAGGGGAATAACTGCGCTAAGTGCAAACTTTTACCTTAGTTTTGTGAGGAATCTCCATACTGATTTTCACATTGGTTGAACCAGTCTGCACTCCCTCTAACAGTGGAGAGGGTTCCTTCTTGTCCATAGTCCTTCCAGGATTTGACGCTGGTTGATTTCCTGATGATAGCCATTCTCTCTGGCGTGAGAAGAAATCTCAGAGTTGTTTAAATTTGCATTTGTCAAATGTGCAATGATGTTGAACATGTTTTCATATATTTATTTTCCATTTGTATTTCTTTATCTGAGAAGTGTGTATTCACCTCAGATGCTCATTTTTGATTGAGTCTTTCACTTTTCGGGGCCTGATTTTTTAAAATTTTTTACAAGTTTTAGATACAAGTGCTTTGACTGACAGATAGTGGGATAAAATTTTTTCCTAATTCATGGGTTTTCTTTTCACTCTGTTGGTATTTTCTTTTGATATGAAAACACTTTTGAATAAGATGAGATCCCAGTTGTTGATTCTTTGAAGTATTTTTCCCATGGAGTTTGGTTTTTGTTCATGAACTCTCTGACTACCCCTATATCTTCATGATTTCTACCTATTTTCTCTTCGAGTAGATGTAGTGTTTCTGTTTTAGTATTTAGATCTTTGTTCCATTTTGACTTTAGTGCATGGTGATAGACATGTGTCCAGTTATATTCTCCAGCATGTAGAAAACCAGTTTATCCAGCACTATTTATTAAAGAAGCTAACTTTTTTTTCCCAGTGAATTTGTTGGCTCCTTTATCAGAGATAAGGTGTCTGAATGTGTTTGTAGTTGTATCTGTCTTCTAATCTGTTTCATTCATCCTCAGGTCTGTTTTCTTGGCAGTCCATGCTTATTTAATCACAGTAGCTTTGTAGTATAGTTTCAAGTCTGGGATTGTGATGCCTCCTGCCTTTCCTTTGTTGCACAGGGTTAGTTTTGCTATTCTAAGTGTCTTCTTTTTCCAGATGAATTTGAGGAATATTTTCCCAGTATCTCTGAGGAATACTAATGGTATTTCAATTAGGATCACATTGGATCTGTATAACAATTTGGGGAGTATGGCAATTTTCACTATGTTGGATCTTCCAATCTATGAGCAAGGAATATCTTTCCATTTTGTGAAATTCTCTTTAATCTCTTTCTTCAGAGTACTTTATTTTTGCTGTATAGTTATTTTATTTCCTTTGTTAGATGGATTACTAAGTTTTTAATTGTTTGAAAGCTATTGTGAAAGGTGTGGTTTCCCTAATTTATTTCTCAATGTGTTTGTTGTTTGTGTACAGGAATGCTATTGATTTTTGAGCATTGACTTTGTACTCATTAAGCCTACTGTATTTGGTTATTAAATCTATAACACTTTGGTTGAGGTTTGGGGTTTTCTATGTAGAATATCCTTTCCTCTGTGAAGAATCATAATTTCCATTGTTCCTTTCCTGTGCTTATTCCTTTTATTTCTCTCACTTGTATAATTGCTCTGGCTAATACTTCCAGAACTATGTTGAATAGTAGTGTTGACAGTGGACATCTTTCTCTTTTTTCCTGATTTGAAAATGAAGTAGATCATCTTTTTTTTTTTTTTTTTTTTTTTTTTTGGCTTGGATCATCTTTTTTTTTTTTTTTTTTTTTTTTTTTTTTTTTTTTTTTGGTTTTTCTCCGGTACCGGGAACCGAACTCATGACCCTGCACTTGCCAGGCAGGCGCTTTGCTGCTGAGCTAAATCCCCAGCCCCCTGATTTGAAAGTGAAAGCTTTCAGTTTATGACCATTTAGTATGATGTTGGCCATGGGTTTGACATAAATGGCTTTTCTCCAACTTTGGTAATGACCATCCATTCCAATTTTCTGTTGGGTTTATCATGAATGTGTGTTGTGCTTTATCAAAAGCTTTTTCTGCATGCATTGAGGTGATCATGCGCTTCTGTCACTGGCTCTGTTGACAAGGTATACTACATTTATTGATTTGTATGTATTGAACCATCTCTGCATACCTTACATAAATCCCACTTGGTCAGGATGTCTAATGTTCTTCATGATTTACTGTGTTCTGCTTCTTAGTATTTTATTGAGAAGTTTTGCATTTATTTTCATTAGGGATATTGGCCTGTAGTTCTCTATTTTGTTTGGGTATTTTGTGTTTTTTTTTTTTGTCTGTTCTAGACAGGATCTCACTATGCAGTTCAGGCTGGTCTTGAAGTCACTGTATACTCCAGGCTGACTTCAAACTCACAGCTATCCTCCTGCCTCAGCATCCTGAATCCTGGGATGACAGGTATGTATCACCACACCTGGCTTGGTTGTGTCTTTCTGTGGTTTTAGTATCAGGGTAATGCTTGCCTCCAGGAGTGAGTTAGGGAGAATTGCTTCCCTTCCAATTACTTAATCAGGTTGAGAAGAATTGGCATTAACTCTTCTGAGAATTTCTTGTAGAGTTAAGGTGTGAATCCATGAGGACCTGGGATTTTCTTTGTTGGTAAATTTTAATTACATTTTCAATTAATTGAGTGGTATTGGGTTATCCAGGATTTTTATATCTTCTTGATTCAGGTTTGTTAATTCATATATATCTAGGAATCTTTCCTTTTCCTCTGTGCCCTCCATCCTATTGAGAGTAAAGATTTTCAAAGTAGGTATTGATGATCTTGTGAATTTCTATAGAATCTGTAGTGATTTCATCCTTTTCATTCCTATTGCATGCATTTGAGTTTTTTCTTTCCTTTTATGATAATTAAATCTATATATTGTTTTCTTAGTCTCCATTGCATTAATTTCTACTCTGATCTTTATAACTTCATCCCTTCTTTGGGGTTTGGGTTGACTTGCTCTTCTTTTCTAGAAGCTTGAGGTACAGTATAAGGTTTCTTTATTTGTGCTCATTCTCTTTTCCTGATGTGAGAATTCACTGCTGTAAATTTCGCTAAGAATGGCTTTCACAATATCCCACAGGTTCCAATAGTACTGCATTTTTGTTTAATTGCAAATGTTATTTAATTTCATGTGTGA